TTATTTTTTTTTTTTTTTTTTTTTTTACTTTTTGGCAATGGAAACAAATTTTATAACCAATTGTGGAAAAAATTATCACTTTAATGGACAATTTTCATGTAAAATAAAGCCAAACGAACACAAAATTTTAAAATTTTTCAGATGAAAAATATACAAATCAAACACACTTAATTAACAGTTCCCTACAAAACAATTTCTAGACAATTACTTTCTCTAAAATTCATATTCTTTCCACCCATTTTCCATTCTTACAATCAAACGGACCCTAGTGAAATGTCTCTATTTCTCATCCCACTAATATTTCAAATTAATATCTGAAACTTAAGAAATCGTCAAAAAGTCTACATTTTCAAACGAAGTTAATAATTATATCAGTATAAACCTTCGATTGCTTTAACAAGGAGAAAGATTTCTATAAGACAATCATATATGCCTACGTGATACGACGACCATTAAAAATCACGACACATATCATTTGATTCACATTCCACTAAATACTTACATTTTCTCAGATAATGATTTTCTGGACCGAAAATAAATAAATAAAATGGAAGATATTAACATATGCATACAAGTACAAGAAATTTGCTTGTAAAAACAAAACAGAAAAGTAAAGTTAAAAGACGAAAAATTCTTTTTTGACTCTACAAATTGAGTTCCCTAAAATATAAACTAATTAGCTATTCCACAATCAAAGTATAGGAGGCACTTTTTTTTCCCTTAATTTACTAATTAAACCCAATTTTTCCTTTGAAAAGTAAGAATGAGACGAAATGTAAAATAAAATCCCACACTAAAAACAAAGCGAGAGAATCACAACATAAATCTTATTCTAATATCGATGAAATTTGACACCAGAAACACTTGCCATAAATTTAAAGGGGTCTTTCTCCTCTAAATCCCAACAAAGAAACCCCCCACCAAATCTCTCGCACGTAAATGGACACTTTAGTTTAAACTGTCAACTAAGAAAGTGTATACTTTGAACGGTACATTATCATGTATAAATACCAAAGTATTAGTATGGTATGAAAAGCTACAAGAAAATGCTGCTCATCAGTAACCTATGCCTAACTACAATAATCTCGAGGAGGAGGTACAACTTGTATAAAACGGTAAAAGAAAGACCAAATTATGAATAGTTATTCCTCAGCTTCAGCTACTCTTTGATCAAAATAGTTCAACTTTTTACTTTTGGAGCGTTCAGCAAATATATATTTCTAACAAACCCTTTCCCGAGCTCACCAACAGCTCTCAATGAATCGACTAGATCTTTATCCTCACAATTCTCATCTCTTCCCCGCTTCTGCAAGCACAATCAAGAATCAACAAGGAAACTACAGATTAGAGCATGTTAGGCTAAAGCTTAAACTTCTTTTTACAGTAAAACTTAAGGCGAGAAAGTAAGGTTTCGTACTAAAAAAACAGCTTCTTTTAGAAAGCACGTTTAGCAAAAAGTGTTACTTAGAAGTCACTTTTAATCTTAGCCATACATGCTCTAAATGTTGTCAAAGCCTCATAATTGAACCCCTGATATACCTTTGAACTTTTATTTCTCAACGTAAGACCAACAGCATCACCGCCCAAAGTATCATACCAAACCTTGAACTTATCAGGAAACTCTCTCTGCAGATGCGATAAAAGAAAGATCTCTTAGAATGTTCTGAAACACTAGTTATAGCAAGTAATATTTAAAACCTGCCGAATTAACATTACTTGCCTCAATGTCAAGCGTAAAACGTCTAAGTGGATCGAAGTTCACCATCAGTTTATTCTTCATTTCCTCCAAGCTTCCCCTGAGGTCACCAGGTAACAAGAAAGGCTGGAAAATCTTGCTAGGATTCCCACGCAAAACATGCCTCCCTGCATCAAATGTAGAGTATAGATTTTCAACAAAATTGCAAAGAAACGGATGCATTTCTTTGTTCGTACAGATTAAGGGCTCAATGAGTGTGTACAAGGCGTGACATAAAAACCTTGATTGATTTCAGACGGGAAGAGAAGATGGTGCGGAAAAGGCAATTTATCTCTGTGGAGAAGAATTACAGCATTGAAGTTGTTCAAAGGCGTGCGTAAAAGGCACTGCAAAAGAAAAAATTAGAACA